TATGCATAGCATTTCGGGCTGGCTTAAAATTAACTAAGCAGTGATGAAATCAGTGATAATACATTATTGTAAACAGATAACTATAAAGCACAAATGAGTATTACAAAGACAGGTCATATGGTTGCATGCATTGTTGTACATTCAGTCGTATGGAGTATTCTGTTAGGTAGTGTATTTAAAAAATAATAAAGTTAGATTGGGTTTTAGGTTTAACATTTGTGTGATATAATTGTGAGAAACATTTAAGATATACAATTTATAAGGTTCAGTTATTCAGTATTTATTTGGTTTTGGGTGAGTAAGTGATCTTTGAGAAGAGACTTGAATTTATAAACAGGTAGTGTTTCTTTTATATTTACAGGTAATGAATTCCAGATTTTAGGGCCTTTTATGTGCATTGAGTTTTTGCATAGTGTGAGATGGACACGAGGAACATCAAAGAGTGATCTGTGCCTTGTGTTATGGTCATGTGTTCTGTTGAGGTTGGCAAGGAGATGTTTGAGGGGAGGGTTAATATCAGAGTTAAGTGTTCTATGTATGTAATAGGTGCAGTAATAAGTATGGATGTTTTGTATGGTGAGTAGGTTTAGTGTATTGAATATTGGTGGAGTGTGCTGCCTGTAGTGAGAATTTGTTATCATTCTAACTGCAGCCTTTTGTTGTGTAATTAGTGGTCTGAGATGGTTAATTGTTGTTGAGCCCCATGCACAAATTCCATAGGTGAGATAGGGGTAAATAAGAGAGTGATATAGGGCCAGGAGGGCTGACTGTGGAACATAGTACCGTATCTTCGATAGTATGCCTACAGTCTTGGAAATTTTCTTAGAAATTTGTTGTATATGTGTATGAAATTTGAGTCTATTATCAATAATAATAATAATAATAATAATAATAATAATAATATAATAATAATAATAATAATAATAATAATCACCCTGCCTTGGTGGGAGACGGCCGACTTGTTAAAAAAAAAAAATAATAATAATAATAATAATAATATGTAATAATAAGTTCCCTTGAAGCATGAAAAAAATCCTTAGTCCACCCCTGACAAGTGATGTGATAAGATGAGATAAAATTAGACAAGAGCTGACATTTGATGAGCATACACGAGGGTGCGGTGATAAGACTTCATAAGATAAAATTAGAGGTGACATTTGATGAGCATCGGCCCTTGCTTTGTTTTCGCTGGTACACAAGCATGTCTGTCTGTCTATTTGTCTGTCTGTCAAGCTCCCTATCTGTCTATCCATCTATCCGTCTATCCATCTAGCTTTCTGTCTCAGAGACAGCCACAAGACTGCGTCATCACATTTACTCGTATCTTCAAGCAGAGTATAACCCTTTTTCTGGATTTTTTTGGGCTATCCTAGGTAATTTACACTATGTATACTTGTATTTATGTGTACCTGTGAGACAGAGATAGACAGAGACAGAAAGAGATAGAGACAGATAGACAGAGATAGAGATGGAGACAGACAGAGACAGAGACAGATAGACTGAGACAAAGATAGAGATAGAGACAGACAGACAGAGATAGACATAGACACAGACAAACAAACAGAGCCAGGCCACCAGCAGCCAGCCAGCCATGCAGCTGGCCAGCCAGGTGGCCAGCCAGCCAGCCTGCTGAACAAGTATTACATTCCAGAATTGTTTCTCTTTACTTAGGGCATAGGTTATAAGACATTCTGAAAGGATGTTGCACATGGGTTATTATAGAGGTTTTTTGATATTTCCTCGACCACTTATGGCCACATCCACCTCAAAGCCACTAAACTCAGGGTCAACATCACTTTCCTCTTAAAATAGGAGAGTTAATACTATATGAAATCAGTAAATCCCATGTGTTTTTTGTGCTGTTTGCTCTAGCTGGTGCTCATTTGGACTGGTGCTCATTTGGACTGGTGCTCCCACAAGGTACTAAGTGGTCCCAGATTTTTTTAATGAAGTGCACACTGAGTGTTATGACCCATTCTATGCTGACAAGGCATTTCACGCCAATCGTGCCATATTTGAAGGCAGGAAAAATAAAACGTTTATATACATTTGGGGCACTAGCGGTAAGAATGTATATATGTATTTGGACCGTTTATGGGTTAAGGGTTAACCCTTTCAGGGTCGCTAGGCCCTCTCCGAGACTTGTTCTCAGGGTCACTAGGCCCTCTCCGAGACTTGTTCTCAGGGTTGCCAAATTTTCAAAAAAAAAAAAAAAAAGTTTTTTCTTATGAAAAGTTAGAGAATATTTTCCCGATCATAATGACACCAAAAGTATGAAATTTGATGGAAAACTTACGGACTTATGCTCTTGCGAATTAGCAGTCTCAACAGTGTTTACGCATCGGCGATTTTGCCCACTTTGAGTACTATTTTCGGCCAATTCCCATGTACTAGTTGACAAAAATCATAACTATTTCGCTAGAACTCCATTTTTTCTATCGAATGAGTACAAGAAACCACCCATTTACCGATTTCAACTATCCAATAAAGTGGTCAGAATTTAGCAATTTTGCCAATTTCAAACAAATTTCAAAAGATGCCAAGTTCCAAATAAGGTCCAGAATAAACAAGAAAGACATTCCTGGCACTAAAATAACATTTCCTCTGTTCATTAGTCATGTCCCCACGCCCCTCTTACATTCTTTTGCTTTCCACTTCAAATTTTTATTCTCACAAAAAAATAGAAGATTTACTGTTATGCAGACTACTGCATTAGTGTAGAAATGGTATAAACAATATCAGCACACTTGTGAAAGAAGTTGACGTGTATTGGATGCGTAGCATGATTTGTTTACTTTTGAACTTTGGTAAAAATCGAACATTTCTGCTACTTTGAGCTCAATTTCAAGGTACTTTTCATTGTAAAACCAGTCAAAATCATCTCAATTTCTGTAATATGTCTTCCATTCTATAAAATGAGACCAGGAAAACTAGAATGCAACAATAAATACCATACGAAAATACAGTGCAAAGTCGCTGTTTTAATCCAAAAACACGGTCAAAGTTTTTTTTTTCTCATTACACACTGTGTGCTACAGGATTTTTTTTACACTGCGCACACCAGGCCACCGGACCATCCCTCATGTTCATTTCACACTTTTCAAAAATGAAGGGCCTGAAGACCTGGAATTCAATTCCCGAACCAGCAAAAGGTCCTCTGTAAACAAATTTAGGGCTAAAAAATCATCTCATCTCTCAATATTAACCAAACCAGCACTATGCTAACCCATTGGAAGCAACTTTCTCAAATATTTTATAACCTTTAATCTATTAAAACATAAATACATACTTAAAATAATACCACTGTACCATTATTATTTGTACTACTTATAATATTGTTATTAGTTATGTGCTACATCAAGACTATTAATCTTATTAACTTTTAACTGTCCCTCAGTAGAAATAAGATAAAATAATAAATATTTAAAATAAACCACTCTTAATCTGTCTAACTTAAGTAGTCTTTAAGTATTAGGATTAGTCTGCCCAAAATGCCCCAGCATGATAGTGGCTTGCTTTTCTTTTCAACAAGTTGGCCGTCTCCCACCGAGGCAGGGTGACCCAAAAAGAAAGAAAATCTATCCCCCCCAAAAAAAGTACTTTCATCATCATTCAACACTATCACCTCACTCACACATATTCACTGTCTTTGCAGAGGTGCCCAGATACAACAGTTTAGAAGCATATATAAAGATATATAACATACCTCTCCAAACTGCCAATATCTCAAACCCCTCCTTTAAAGTGCAGGCATTGTACTTCCCATTTCCAGTACTCAAGTCCGGCTATATAAAAATAACCGGTTTCCCTGAATCCCTTCATTAAATATTACCCTGCTCACACTCCAACAGCTCATCAGGTCCCAAAAACCATTTATCTCCATTCTCTCCTATCTAACACGCTCACACATGCTTGCTGGAAGTCCAACCCCCTCGGCCACAAAACCTCCTTTAACCCCTCCAACCTTTTCGAGGATGACCCCTACCCCGCCTCCCTGCCTCTACAGATTTATATGCTCTCCAAGTCATTCTTCTTTGATCCATTCTCTCTAAATGACCAAACCATCTCAACAACCTCTCTTCACCCCTCTGACTAATACTTTTAGTAACTGCACACCTTCTGATTTCCACACTTCGAATTCTCTGCATAATATTTACACCACACATTGCCCTTAGACAGGACATCTTCACTGCCTCCAGCTGCCTCCTCACTGCAGCATTTGCAACCCAACCTTCACACCCATATAAGAGTGTTGGTACCACTATACTTTTGTGCATTCCCTTCTGTGCCTTCATGGATAATGTTTTTTGTCTCCACAGATACCTCAATACACCACTCACCTTTTTTTCTTCATCAGGTCTATTGCTAACTTCATCCTTCATAAACCCATCTGCTGACAAGTCAACTCCCAAATATCTGAAAACATTCACTTCTTCCATACTCCCTCTCTCCAATGGCTTGCTTTGTACCTAATAAATTATAAAATGTAATCACATCATTGTAACTTTTGCAAATAAATCAATTTTGGACTTTGTCTTTATGGCAAGACAGTGATAGTTGGAATGATCATAAAATTACACGTATTTCTTTTTTTGGATCACCCTGCCTTGCTTGGCCAGCATGTTAAAAAGAAAAATTGTGGTAAGCAGGAAATAATCCCAAAAATCTTAAATTATCATTAGTTTTGAATAAAAGTGTTGATCTAAGTATTTTAGATAAAAAATGAAGTATGTATAAAGTCGTACCTCGGGATACGAACAGCTCAAAACTTGAACAGTTATGTAAGTGTATTTATGTAAGTGCTTTTGTGAGTGTATTTTTGGGGGTGTGAAACAGATTAATCTTATTACATTATTCCTTATGGGAACAAATTTGTTCGGTATCGGCACTCGAACGGCCTTCTTGAACGAAATAAATTTGTATTCCAAGATACCACTGTATACAGACCTCATTGCAATTCACAATCCTATACATTATTTCGTTCCTTATATTTCTTGCAGCCGGATTCTACGATCAATGTGGAGATTGCTCCGGACACTATCAACCCCCGCCTCTTTCTGTTCATTAACCAGCCACGTTTACCTACCTTTAAGTCCAACATGGCATTCACTCTAGTGAGGGACCTTCCACTGAATAATGGTGAGGCACATATTAAGATTTACAATTAGGCAAAACACATTGTTATTTATCCTGGTATTGTCCAACTCTAGCTGCACCAATCACTGTCTGTCTGTCCAGTTTTAGCTCTACCAATCACTATCTGTCTGTCTAGTTGTAGTTACACCAGTCACTGCCTGTCCAGTTGTAGCTGCACCAATCACTGTCTGTCCAGTTGTAGTTACACCAGTCACTGTCTGTCCAGTTGTAACTGCACCAATCACTGTCCAGTTGTAGCCGCACCAGTCACTGTCCAGTTGTAGTTGCACCAGTCACTGTCCATTTGTAGCTGCAACAGTCACTGCCCAGTTGTAGCTGCACCAGTCACTTCAGTTGTAGCTCCCAGTCACTGTCCAGTTGTAGCTGCACCAGTCACTGTCCAGTTGTAGCTGCACCAGTCACTGTCCAGTTGCAGCTGCACCAGTCACTGTCCAGTTGCAGCTGCACCAGTCACTGTCCAGTTGCAGCTGCACCAGTCACTGTATGCTAGTCCAGTTGCAGCTGTACCAGTCACTGTATGCTAGTCCAGTTGCAGCTGCACCAGTCACTGTATGCTAGTCCAGTTACAGCTGTACCAGTCACTGTATGCTAGTCCAGTTACAGCTGTACCAGTCACTGTATGCTAGTCCAGTTGCAGCTGTACCAGTCACTGTATGCTAGTCCAGTTGCAACTGTACCAGTCACTGTATGCTAGTCCAGTTGCAGCTGTACCAGTCACTGTATGCTAGTCCAGTTGCACCTGTACCAGTCACTGTATGCTAGTCTAGTTGCCGTTGTACCAGTCACTGTATGCTAGTCCAATTGCAGTTGTACCAGTCACTGTATGCTAGTCCAGTTGGAGCTGTACCAGTCATTCTGTGTTAGTCCAGTTTGGACTGGACATCACTCACAGTATCAGTCATAACAAATTTATTTGTTATATTGCAGCTGGATGATGGTACCATGGCCCCCATGTTCTGGGGGCGTCTAAAATTAAATGCTTCTTCAACAGGTTCCTTGATTCTGGTAAATCAAATCAAAGTTTATTCTCTATAAGGATTACAATGCAGTGTTTACAGATTTTGGTTATTGTGTGGTTTACATGTAGTAAAATACTAATTACAGAGAGGGCTACTAGAACACCTAGCATGACTAGGCATTTCGGGCAAACTTAGATTAATTCTTAACCCTAAATTATTACAAATTGTGGAGTAAGTTGACTAAATACTAAGTGACTAAATACTAAGTAACAAATACTAGTTTGTGAGTTTAGCAATGTGAATGCTTTTGTTTTGGTGATGTGTAGAACAAGTGTTTACATTGAAGCATATATGTGAACAGTATTTAGATAAAGGTAGGGAAGTTTTTATTGCATTTATGGATTTAGAAAAGGCATATGATAGAGTGGATAGAGGAGCAATGTGGCAGATGTTGCAAGTATATGGAATAGGTGGTAAGTTACTAAATGCTGTAAAGAGCTTTTATGAGGATAGTGAGGCTCAGGTTAGGGTATGTAGAAGAGAGGGAGAATACTTCCCAGTAAAAGTAGGTCTTAGACAGGGATGTGTAATGTCACCATGGTTGTTTAATATATTTATAGATGGGGTTGTAAAAGAAGTAAATGCTAGGGTGTTCGGGAGAGGGGTGGGATTAAATTATGGGGAATCAAATTCAAAATGGGAACTGACACAGTTACTTTTTGCTGATGATACTGTGCTTATGGGAGATTCTAAAGAAAAATTGCAAAGGTTAGTAGATGAGTTTGAGAATGTGTGTAAAGGTAGAAAGTTGAAAGTGAACATAGAAAAGAGTAAGGTGATGAGGGTATCAAATGATTTAGATAAAGAAAAATTGGATATCAAATTGGGGAGGAGGAGTATGGAAGAAGTGAATGTTTTCAGATACTTGGGAGTTGACGTGTCGGCGGATGGGTTTATGAAGGATGAGGTTAATCATAGAATTGATGAGGGAAAAAAGGTGAGTGGTGCATTGAGGTATATGTGGAGTCAAAAAAACGTTATCTATGGAGGCAAAGAAGGGAATGTATGAAAGTATAGTGGTACCAACACTTTTATATGGATGTGAAGCTTGGGTGGTAAATGCAGCAGCGAGGAGACGGTTGGAGGCAGTGGAGATGTCCTGTCTAAGGGCAATGTGGGGGTGTAAATATTATGCAGAAAATTCGGAGTGTGGAAATTAGGAGAAGGTGTGGAGTTAATAAAAGCATTAATCAGAGGGCAGAAGAGGGGTTGTTGAGGTGGTTTGGTTATTTAGAGGAATGGATCAAAGTAGAATGACATGGAAAGCATATAAATCTATAGGAAAGGAAGGAGGGGTAGGGTCGTCCTCGAAAGGGTTGGAAAGAGGGGGTAAAGAAGGTTTTGTGGGGGAAGGGGCTTGGACTTCCAGCAAGCGTGCGTGAGCGTGTTAGATAGGAGTGAATGGAGACGAATGATACTTGGGACCTGACGATCTGTTGGAGTGTGAGCAGGGTAATATTTAGTGAAGGGATTCAGGGAAACCGGTTTATTTTCATATAGTCGGACTTGAGTCCTGGAAATGGGAAGTACAATGCCTGCACTTTAAAGGAGGGGTTTGGGATATTGGCAGTTTGGAGGGATATGTTGTGTATCTTTATACGTATATGCTTCTAAACTGTTGTATTCTGAGCACCTCTGCAAAAACAGTGAAATGTGTGAGTGTGGGAAAGTGTTGAATGATGATGAAAGTATTTTTTTTTGGGGATTTTTTTTCTTTTTTTGGGGTCCCCCTGCCTCGGTGGGAGCGGCCGATTGTTGAAAAAAAAAAAAAAAACAATTTCTATTTTGGAGTATCACAGGAAAAATTTTGATATTTTGGGAAATCATTATTTAAGTTAGGATACGTATTTCTGTGTTATGTCAAATGGGTGAGTGAGTGGTTAAATGTGGCCCAAACCGGTGGTTTTTATGTAGTTAGTTGGGGGGTGTATCAGGGAGACAAGATTTTTTAAAACAGTGTTTTAAAGGTGTGAATGTGTTGTGTTCTAGATTTTTTCAGGTAGGTGTTCCAATTTTAGGGCTTTGAATACTTTGAGTTTTTGTAAAGGTTTAGTGGACAGGGGAAATGTCGTAGAGTGTTTGTGTTGGTGTTATGCCTTGGGCCCTTCAAACTATCAAAAAGCATTTTAGGTCAAGGTTAATTTGGGAAATTTTAAGGTCTGTATATGTGATTGCACAGTGTAAGTGTGGTGTTCGAACAGGGGAAATTTTTTGATTTGAAGAGTGGGGGGGTGTGTTCCCGGGGATGGGAAATTAGTGTTATTCTTTTGCACTTTTTGTTGAGTTATTTTGGTTTTTGGTGTATTGCTGATTTGCCCAAAGCCAAATGCATGGGTGAGGTATGGATAAATGAGTGAAGGGTTTTAAGTGTGAGAAGGGCATTTTGCGGCACTAGTATCATATCTTGGAGAGGACCCCAATGTTTTGGATATTTTTTTTGATTTGTTTGGTAGGGGTGCTGAAATTGGGTTTTTGTCTAGGTATAGGCTAGGAATTTTGCCCTATTAGTTGGCTTAGGTGCTGTCTATCTGTGTTAAGTTGGCATTACTGCTTGCTACCAAACAAAATATAGTAGGTTTTGTCTGTTAAGTGAAAGTTTATTGGCTGTACCCAAGTTGATTTTTTTGAGCAGCCCTTTTTAATAATGTCTTGGGGGGGCAAGATTAGGGTGAAGAGACATAAGTGTGTCGTCAGGAAAAGGGAGAATGGATTTAGTTTTTGGGGCTTTTGGAAGATCATTGATGAAAATGGGGAAAGAGCGGGGCCCAAAGGCCCTTTCCCTGTGGAACTCCAGTATCAAGTGGCCGTTTTGATGATGCTTGTCTTTAATGGTGACATATGATACCTATTAGAAAGGTAGGATTTGAAATATGCAAGGCTGGCCTTTAACTAAAGGTCAAGTTTTTGGAGGGGATGCCGTGGTCTACCCGTGTCAAAGCTTTTCTTAGGTCAATAAAAAAAATTTCCCAGGGTATTCCTTATTTTCCCAAAGCTGTGTAAAGAGATCTAGCATTTTTACAATTGATCTTGTGTTTTATTTTTCCTGAAACCCCAAATTTGGAGGGGTTGGGGTTTTTTGCCCTTATAAATGAATACAGTCTCCCGTGCAGAGTTTCTCGAGATTTTGGATAGCAAAGGTAAATTTGATATTGGCCCATAGTTGTTTACATCTGTAGGGTCCCCCCTTTATGTATTTGGGGTAACCCTTTCTGCTTGAGTAGTTTCGGGAAGGTGTAGTTTCTAGTGACTTGTTAAAAAGTAATGAAATAGCATGCGAAAGGACTGTGCCCCCTGCCTTTTACAATAAGGGGGACATGAGCAGGTTCCCTGAGTTATTTTAAGTGACTTATAATTCAGTGACTTCGGTGGGTTAGTTGGAACAAGATGAAGGAAATTTTTGAAAATTCCCTCTAGTAGTCCCCCGCATGGGCTTTGGGAGTGGATTTTTTCTGGGAAATTAGTCTATGGTTTTGGAAAAAGTCGTTTTTTCTTGTTAGTGTTTCAGTGGAATGCGGGTGTTTCATTAGGTTTAGTTAGGGCAATATTCGTGTTTTTTTCAGTTTGTGGGTGCCCAGAATCTGAGAGAGTGTTTTCCAGGTCTTTTTTATGTCTCCTCTTGTGTCAGTGAATCTGCTGGAGTAGTACAGCTGTTTGGCTTTCTTTATTACTTTGGTGAGAACTGATGAATAGTGTTTAAGAATATCTTTATGTATTAAGCCCTGTCTATATTGCTTTTCATATTGGTGTTTCTTATCAATGGATTTCAGAATGCTGCTGGTTAGCCATGGGCAACCGAGCTGTTTATTCGTGATCTGTTTCGTTTTTATAGGACAATGTTTGTTGTATAGTCTAAGTGATTTGTTAAGAAAAATGTCTGTCCAATCGTCAATACCATTGGCCTTGCAGAATTCTGTAGGCCAGTCAACAGTCTCTAGGTCTGCTGTGAACGTCCTTATTGAGGCTTAGTCATGGAGTCTAAATGAAACTTTGTTGCATTCCAGTGGTGGTTTACTAATGTTTGTTAAGAGGAAGGTAGGGTAGTGGTCTGTAGTGCTGTCTGTGATTATCCCTGATTTAAGGGGGGCTAGTATATTGGTCCATATGTGGTCTATTATGGTTGCACTTGTCTCTGTGAGCCTGGTTGGTTTAGTTATTGTTGGTATGAGAAGTGTGTTTTTCATATTGTTGATGAAATCAGTTACAGGCTGATCATCTAGTAGGCCAAGGTTGATATTGAAGTCTCCAGCTAAGAGAAGGTGGTGCTTGTTCATTTGTCTGTTAGTTATTAGTGCCTTTAATTTCTCACTGAAATTTGGGATGTTTGTGTGGGGTATCTGGTAAATGGCACCGATTGTTATAGGCGTCTTAAGGTTTTTTAAAGTAAAATTAGCAAAAATGTATTCTCCATAAGTATTCCCCATAAGTAAAGGGTTCTTGATCCAGAGAATTTGAGCTGCTTGCCACTTCCTTGGATCAAACCTGGTTGTTTCTTATTCCTCATGTCCTGTATGACTCTGTAGGGGATGAACATTTCTCGTAAATATAATAATACAGTAGAACCCCAGTATCCATGGGTTTGATTTCCATGGTTTCAGTTATTCACAGTTTAACCCTTAAACTGTCCAAACGTAGATCTACATTTTTCAACATTTGAAAGTATGTAAAAAAAGTAGATCTTCTTTTCTTTTTTTTACATTTGAAAACATGTAAAAAACTTTGATCTTTTTTTTTTGTTATATTTGAAAATATGTAAAAAAACGTAGATCTACTTTTGGAGCACTACGCATGTGAATGTAAATTTGTTTGGACAGTTTAAGGGTTACTGTGGCTTGGAAATAACCTTTGAAAAAGTGCTAATTCTCATTTATTTTGTGTAATTTATCAGTTAAATTTTATCATATGTATGTAAACAAAGAATGACTTAAATATGGGGTTAACTACCATCCACATTTATGGGTATTCATGGTAAGTCTTGGAATGTATCCCCTGTGGATATGGGGGGAGTAAGGTAATCATGTTAATTTTTGAAGTTTAATCTTAAGTTTGCCTGAAATGCATTTTATCACTATGGACTTTTCTATATGTGATTAAACATAAACTGAGAACAATCAACTTTACAGGTACATATGAATATTTATTGCTGGCTGACAGTCTGGCTGGTATTGGTCGGTACTTTTTGGGTGTTGGCGAGTTTAAAAGTGCCTTTAACATGAGTCTGCTGAACAATTCTGCGCAGAACAACATCAACATGGACGTAGTGCAGAACATATCAACCAATTATCGGCTTCGTATAACAGTCAACGGTGCGGCATTTCTGAACAAGTCATCGATGAATTGGGAGACACAAGGTGTTGTTGTGAGTATTTTAAGACTGAATTACAGTAAATGGTGGAGATACTGGTCCAAAAAGAAAAGATAAAGTTTCACCTTTTAAATTTAGTAATATATACAGGAGAAGGAGGTACTAGCTCCTTGCTCCCAGCATTTTAATTGCCTCTTACCATCCTACCAAGTGAGTGTGAAATGAAAGCCTGAAATTGTTTTACATGATGGTAGGATTGCTGGTGTCTTTTGTCTGTCTCATAAATATGCAAGATTACAAGTACGTCTTGCTACTTCTACTTACACTTAGGTCACACTGCACATACATGTACATGTTTATTTATACACACTCATCTGAGTTTTCTTTGATTTTATCTTAATAGTTCTTGTTCTTATTACTTTTCCTTTTATATCCATGGGGAAGTGGAATAAGAATCTTTCCTCCGTAAGCCATGCGTGTTGTAAAAGTCAACTAAAATGTCGGAAACAATGGGCTAGTAACCCCTTTTCCTGTAATAATTACTAAAAAGAATAAGAAGAAGAAAATTATCAAAGTGAGAAGTCTGAATGTGCATGGATATTGTGCAAATGATAAGAAAGAGATGATTGTGGATGTTATGAATGAGAAGAAGCTGGATGCCCTGGCTTTAAGTGAAACAAAGCTGAAGGGGGTGGGAGAGTTTCAGTGGAGAGGAATAAATGGGATTAGGTCAGGGGTTTCAAGTAGAGTTAGAGCTAAAGAAGGAGTAGCAGTAGTGTTGAAGGATAAGCTATGGCAGGAAAAGAGGGACTTTAAATGTATTAATTCAAGGATTATGTGGAGTAAAATAAAGGTTGAATATGAAAAGTGGGTTATAGTAAGTGTATATGCACCTGGGAAGAGAGAAGTGTAGAGGAGAGAGAGAGAGATTTTGGGAAATGTTGAGTGAATGCGTGGGGAGTTTTGAACCAAGTGTGAGAGTACTTGTGGTTGGGGATTTCAGTGCTAAAGTGGGTAAAAATGTTATGGAGGGAGTAGTAGGTAAATTGGGGGTGCCAGGGGTAAATGAAAATGGGGAGCCTTTAATTGAGCTATGTGTAGAAAGAGGTTTGATAATAAGTAATATATATTTTATGAAGAAGAAGATAAATAAATATACAAGGTATGATATAGCACGTAATGAAAGTAGTTTGTTAGATTATGTAATGGTGGATAAAAGGTTGATGGGTAGGCTCCAGGATGTACACGTTTATAGAGGGGCAACTGATATATCGGATCATGAGTTGTAGCTACAGTTAGAGTAAGAGGTAGATGTGAAAAGAGGAAAATGGCAACAACAAGCAAGAGGGAGGTGAAAGTGTATAAACTAAGGGAGGAGGAAGTTTGGGTGAGATATAAGCAACTACTGGCAGAAAGGTGGGCTTGTGCAAGTATGAGTAGTGGGGGGGTTGAAGAGGGTTGGAATAGTTTTAAAAATTCAGTATTAGAATGTGGGGCAGAAATTTGTGCTTATAGGAGGGTGGGTGCAGGAGGAAAGAGGAGTGATTGGTGGAATGATGAAGTAAAGGGTGTGATAAAAGAGAAAAAGTTAGCTTATGAGAGGTTTTACAAAACAAAAGTGTTATAAGAAGAGTAGAGTATATGGAGAGTAAAAGAAAGGTGAAGAGAGTGGTGAGAGGGTGCAAAAGGAGAGCAGATGATAGAGTGGGAGAGGCATTGTCAATAAATTTTAATGAAAATAAGAAAAAAATTTGGAGTGAGTTAAACAAGTTAAGAAAGCCTAGAGAACGAATGGATTTGTCAGTTAAAAACAGAGTAGGGGAGTTAGTAGATGGGGAGATGGAGGTTTTGGGTAGATGGCGAGAATATTTTAAGGAACTTTTAAATGTCGATGAAGAAAGGGAAGTGGTAATTTCATGTACTGGCCAGGGAAGTATACCATCTTTTAGAAGTGAAGAAGAACAGGATGTAAGTGTGGGTGAGGTGCATGAGGCATTACTTAGAATGAAAGGGGGTAAAGCAGCTGGAACTGATGGGATCATGACAGAAATGTTAAAAGCAGGGGGGGATATAGTGTTGGAGTGGTTGGTATTTTTGTTTAATAAATGTATGAAAGAGGGGAAGGTACCTAGGGATTGGCGGAGAGTATGTATAGTCCGTTTATGTAAAGGGAAGGGGACAAAAGAGATTGTAAAAATTATAGAGGAATAAGTTTACTGAGTATACCAGGAAAAGTGTACGGTAGGGTTATAATTGAAAGAATTAGAGGTAAGACAGAATTTAGGATTGCAGATGAGCAAGGAGGCTTCAGAGTGGGTAGGGGATGTGTAGATCAAGTTTTTACACTGAAGCATATATGTGAACAATATTTAGATAAAGGTAGGGAAGCTTTTATTGCATTTATGGATTTAGACAAGGCATATGATGGAGTGGATAGGGGAGCAATGTGGCAGATGTTGCAAGTATGTGGAATAGGTGGTAAGTTACTAAATGCTGTAAAGAGTTTTTATGAGGATAGTGAGGCTCAGGTTAGGGTGTGTAGAAGAGAGGGAGACTACTTCCCGGTAAAAGTAGGTCTTAGACAGGGATGTGTAATGTCACCATGGTTGTTTAATATACTATTTATAGATGGGGTTGTAAAAGAAGTAAATGCTAGGGTATTAGGGAGGGGTGTGGGATTAAATTATGGGGAATCAAATACAAAATGGGAATTGACAGTTGCTTTTTGCTGATGATACTGTGCTTATGGGAGATTCTAAAGAAAAATTGCAAAGGTTAATGGATGAGTTTGAGAATGTGTGTAAAGGTAGAAAGTTGAAAGTGAACATAGAAAAGAGTAAGGTGATGAGGGTATCAAATGATTTAGATAAAGAAAAATTGGATATCAAATTGGGGAGGAGGAGTATGGAAGAAGTGAATGTTTTCAGATTCTTGGAAGTTGACGTGTCGGCGGATGGATTTATGAAGGATGAGGTTAATCATAGAATTGATGAGGGGAAAAAGGTGAGTGGTGCGTTGCGGTATATGTGGAGACAAAAAACGTTATCTATGGAGGCAAAGAAGGGAATGTATGAAAGTATAGTGGTACCAACACTCTTATATGGGTGTGAAGCTTGGGTTGTGAATGCAGCAGCGAGGAGGCGGTTGGAGGCAGTGGAGATGTCCTGTCTAAGGGCAATGTGTGGTGTAAATATTATGCAGAAAATTCAGAGTGTGAAAATTAGGAGAAGGTGTGGAGTTAATAAAAGTATTAGTCAGAGGGCTGAAGAGGGGTTGTTGAGGTGGTTTGGTCATTTAGAGAGAATGGATCCTAGTAGAATGACTTGGAGAGCAATTAAATCTGTAGGGGAAGGAAGGCGGGGTAGGGGTCGTCCTTGAAAAGGTTGGAAGGAGGGGGTAAGGGAGGTTTTGTGGGCAAGGGGCTTGGACTTCCAGCAGGCATGCATGAGCGTGTTTGATAGGAGTGAATGGAGACGAATGGTATTTGGGACCTGACGATCTGTTGGAGTGTGAGCAGGGTAATATTTAGTGAAGGGATTCAGGGAAAGCTGTTATTTTTATATAGCCGGACTTGAGTCCTGGAAATGGGAAGTATAATGCCTGCACTCTAAAGGAGGGGTTTCAGGATATTAGCAGTTTGGAGGGATATGTTGTGTATCTTTATACGTAATTGCTTCTAAACTGTTGTGTTCTGAGCACCTCTGCAAAAACAGTGATTATGTGTGAGTGAATTGAAAGTGTTAAATGATGATGAAAGTATTTTTCTTTTTGGGGATTTTTTTTCTTTTTGGGTCACCCTGCCTCGGTGGGAGACAGCCGACTTGTTAAAATATATATATATATATTTTTTTTTTTTTTTTTTTTTTTCAACAAGTCGGTCGTCTGCCACCGAGGTAGGGTGACCCAAAAAAGAAAGAAAATCCCCAAAAAGAAAATACTTTCATCATCATTCAACACTTTCACCACACTCACACATTATCACTGCTTTTGCAGAGGTGCTCAGAATACAACAGTTTAGAAGCATATACGTATAAAGATACACAACATATCCCTCCAAACTGCCAATATCCCAAACCCCTCCTTTAAAGTGCAGGCATTGTACTTCCCATTTCCAGGACTCAAGTCCGACTATATGAAAATAATATATATATATATGTATATAGTCTCCGTAGTAGGTTGGTAGACAGCAACCGCCCAAGGAGGCACTACCATCCTGCCAGGTGAGTGTAAAATGGAAGCCTGTAATTGTTTTACATAATGGTAGGATTGCTGGTGTCTTTTTTCTGTCTCATACACATGAAAGATTTCAGGTACGTCTTGCTACTTCAACTTACACTTAGGCCACATTACACATACATGTACAAGTATATATATGCACACCTCTCTGGGTTTTCTTCGATTTTCTTTCTAGTTCTTGCTCTTGTTTATTTCCTCTTATCTCCATGGGAAAGTGGAACAGAATTCTCCCCCCGTAAGCTATGTGTGTTGTAAGAGGCGACTAAGATGCCGGGAGCAAGGGGCTAGTAACCCCTACTCCTGTATATATTACTAACTCTAAAAGGAGAAACTTTTGTTTTTCCTTTTGGGCCACCCCGCCTCGGTGGGATACGGCCGGTGTGTTAAAAGAAAGATACGTATAGATATATATAATATATGCAATGAGATCACAATAAACAGGTGATATCACAATATGCAAAATAACCACTGGGAAAAAATGGTGAATTTACAAAAACGTTAGCAGTTTCTCAGTTTCTAGATGGTGTGATAAACCACAAAAGTGCTTAGAAATTCTCTGTTGTTTTTCACAGTGGTTATTTATTTGTTTATACTATATCTTTGGATACTTTTTTTTATATCTTCCTGTAGGTTTATAGCTAAAACATCATTCCTTTCTCTGCAGTGAAGACAAGCTGCAGCCTTCTGAACAAGCTTTAATTGAGATATTTCAGTCTGTTATGTTCAGAATGTTTAGCCAACTAAAGCTTGTTTGACAGAGTATTTCTTGTCTTCCCAATTCTTGGTACCACAACATTTACTTCACTCTTTCTACAACTCAATTTATCATTATTCATGTCACTGCATTTTTTGTCACATTCTAAACTTCATAAAATATTTGATGTTTTTACTTCATTTCCATATATCTTCAGTTTCTTCAGTCTTGGATGAAACATATTTTATTTTCTTCTCTGTTAACAGGTAAAAAATGTCACTAAGACCATGACTGTATGTGAAAGTGACCATCTGACAAGTTTTGGAGCTGGAATGTTTGTCATGCCTAACACAATCGACTTCAACTACGTGTTCGCACATATGGGCTTCGCTGACAACTTAACCATTTACGTTACTCTTATTATTTGCTTCTCCCTCTTTGCCCTCATGATGATATGGGCTCGAATAAATGACAGAAAGGATGTCCAGAAGGTGAGCTGTATTACAGTGACACTTAGAGTGGGGTGCCTTCATTCTGGTGAAGGATATTTGATTCAAGGAATTGAATCTACCTTTGCTTCCTTGGATCAAACCTGATTATCTCCCATTCCCCAGATACTGTATGATCTCTATGGATTTAATGTTTCTACATGAATATAGTTGCATTAATATAATATCTTCATTGCTAAAATTGTTAAAACTAAAAAGAACAGATATCACAGGCACTCCAAAATAGTTTTTGTGACATTCTACTTAAGAGTTACTTACTACATGCATAACTATACAGGTGCATCTAGGTAGTGTCTCTCATGAATACTGCAAGGATGATTAAGTTTTTACTCCATTCAATAATCAATATAGGTTAAGTTCTTAATGAAATGTAACAGTTACAAGAGCTAAATACAATATATAAATTCTTATAATTCTGAATAAACTAACACTGGGTGAAAAACATTTTACTGAATGTATATTTTTCTTTAGGTTGGGGCATCACCCATGCCCGACAATAAGGTAGAGGACAAGTATTTGTATGAAATTCTAGTTTTTACGGGGAATATCGCTGGTGCACAGACAGACTCTGTCGTGCAGTTCATCTTGTCTGGAGACTATGATGAAACTGACATTCGCACTCTTGGTGACGATCAGCGCAAGATCCTTCGGAAGGCTGACCTCGATGTCTTTGTGATGGCCGTTCCAAGGTGGGGGCATTATAGTTGGTTGCTTGGTTGATTAACTTTAAAGCCTATCAGCTACATAATGGTCATTAACTGCATAAGAAAATTACTTAATAGTTTATGTCTAATTTTTAAGTAGTTTTTAAGCATTATGTTAGTTTGCCCATAATGCATTGCATACTAGTGGGTTTCTTTTGTGTCTAGCAGTGTTTGTTGCATGTAGACTATAATTTTGTACCATTAGATGCAACATCCCCCCACTGAAAAGCAGGTGTGCCACGAGTACCCTAGAGACAACACAGTAAGTGTCAGGGGTCCAAGACTGTTCAAAAGCCTCCCAGCATACACAAGGGGGATTATAAATAGACCCCCGGCTGTCTTCAAGAAGGCACTGAACAGACACTCAAAAGTAAGTATATGACCAGCTGGACTGTGGTTCGTGCATCGGTTTGCATGCAGCCAAAAGTAACAGCCTAGTTGATCAAGCTCTGGTCCACTATGAGGTGCTGATCCCTGAAACCCTCTCCAGGTATACCTGGAGTATACCTGGAGGGTGTTCCAGGGGTTAATGCCTTTGCTTCCTGGTCCATGACCAGGGCTCGTCGTGAATCAGGGCCTGATCAACCAGGCTGTTACTGCCAGTGCATGCAAACCAATGTATGAACCACAGCCTGGCTGGTCAAGTACTAGCTTTAGGTGCCTATCCAGCTCCCTTTTAAAGACATCTATGGGTCTGTTTCACATAAAAAGAATTTGAAATTGATAAGATGCATCTAACCTGTACAACAACAATGAAGGATACCTTAATCCCTCAAAGAAGGATTAAAGTAAATTGAGCATACATACTCTGAGAGATACTCATCTCTCAGAGTGTATATCCTTGAGTACATTTCTGCAAGGATAGCTAGTTAATTAATGGCACTGCATGATGAGGAGAGGTGGAAAGATGTACAGTATTTGTGACTAATAACAGAGATCTGGTCATTAAAACTTCCACTGGCAAACCATCCAAAGGCTTTAGGATTTATAATAGTGAGGTAGTACAAAACATGTAACACTATTACAATTAGTAAATTTAGTAATGGGAATGGTTTTATCTTGGCATGATGCACTGTTTCTATACAAGCTCCTATATTGGGAGAGTATTTCAGGTAAACTTAGGACTAAGATTTATCAGGCAATTATTAGGAATTTTATGTTTACAGTCATTTGGGTGAGTGTAAGTGTAAATTATGGGGGATTACAGATAATGAGAGTAAGTCTGCTTTGCTTTGGATGTGTTCATGATATAAAAAAGAGAATAGGTGGTTGTCACATAGTTAACTGATGATGGGGTGTGTTAGGGAGATAAGATGTTTTTTAACAGTAGTTTTGAAAATGGTGGTTGAGTCTGCAGTTCTAGAGTTTTCAGGCAGGGAGTTCCAGATTTTAGGCCCTTTTATGTACATTGAATTTTTGTAGAGATTTATCCAGACACAAGGAATGTCAGATTTTTGTGTCTGGTATTGTGTCTATGGATCCTGTTACAACTGTCAAGAAAGTGTTTTAATTCAGGGTTAATATTAGAATTTATGGTTCTGTAAATGTAGGTTGCACAGTAGTAGTTGTGAATGTTTTGTACAGTGAGTAAGTTTAGGTCTTTGAATTGTGGGGTGTGTGTTGTCTAGCATTGGATTGTGTGATAATTTTTACTGCAGTTTTTTGTTGGGTTATTATTGGCTTTAGGTAGGTTGCTGCTGTTTATCCCCAGGCACAAATAGCATAGGTGAGATAGGAATAAATGAGTGAATAGTATAGTGTGAGTAGGGCTGATTGTGGTACATAGTAACGTAACTTTGAGACGATCTCAACTGTTTTGGATACTTTTTTTTGTTATGTGTTGGATATGGGTGTTGAATTTCAGGTTGCTGTCAAGGGTCAGACCCAGGAATTTGCCCTCATTTTGTTTAGCAATAAGAGTGTTGTCAATCATAATGTTTAGCAGGGCATCACCTTTTCTGTTCCCAAACATAATGTAGAAAGTTTTGTCAATAGTATAAGTTTATTGGCAGTCATCCAGGTCGACATTTTTACTAGCTCTTCATCAACAATAGTGTTGAGTGAGGCAAGATTTGGGTGGGAGATGACGTAAGTCGTGTTGTCAGCAAAGGGAATAGGTTTAAGTTGTGATACATTAGGAAGATCATTGATGTATAAGAGGAAGAGCAGGGGACCAAGAACACTTTCCTATGGTACTCCAGTATCCAGTGATCTTATTGATAAGGTTGTGTCCTTAATAGAGACGTATTGATGTCTGTTAGTAAGGTAGGATTTGATATATGTCAGTGCATAGCCTCTTATACCATAATGATCTAGTTTGTGGAGGAGGATGCTGTGGTCTACTGTATCAAAAGCTTTCCTTAGGTCGATAAAGAGTCCCAGTGGATATTCATTTTTTTCAAGGGCTGTATAAAGTAGGTTTAACATTTTTACAATTGCATTGTTTGTGCTTTTGCTTTTCCTGAAGCCAAATTGGCAGGGGATGAGGATGCTTTGCACTGTTATGAAGGATTATAATCTCTTATGCATGAGTTTCTTGAAGATATAAAAATGATGTACGTGTAAAACATTTAGGTGAATGAAATATGGGCTTAAAGACTATATATTTATTTTTAAATTATTGAACTGGAAATAAGAATTTAATAACATTTGATTAACTAAAAATTTAAAGGAAATTTTCTCTTGAGTGGGAGTGTTTTGATGCTTGTAAAATATTACTCTACCAGTAAATCAACCCTCATTACCTTCCATTCCTCAGGCATTGTATAACCCTTACTGGTTTAGCACTTTCCCTTAATTACAAGAATAATGCTGCTACTACAGTAAAAATATAAAGAAATTGTAAGACTCGCTGTATGATATTGTTTTACATATCTATATACAGCATCGTATGACATCCTTTCAGGGGAGATTCCTTGATCCTCGTAAAGCACTTTTGATTCAGGGAACTGGAGTTACCCCTCTCCTTCCTCAGATCAAACCTGATCATCATCTGTTCCTTATGCATTGTACAACACCCTACAGGTTTAGCTCTTCCACTTGATTATGACAGTAATTTTTTTTAACACACTGGCCATCTCCCTCAGAGGCAGGGTGACCTCCCCCCAAAAAAGAAACACTTTAACCATCAGTCACACTATCACTGTCTTTTCTGAGGTGTAAAGATTCAACAGTTTAGATGTCACTCTAAGCAGCAAATATCCCAGATATCCCAAATTATGCATTAAATATATTTATCTGATTTTGATCATTATTACAGACCTCTGGGACCTCTGCAGTTCATGAGGATTTGGCACGACAATAGTGGCAAGGGTATCAATGCTTCTTGGTACCTCAGTTGTATTGTGGTGCGTGATGTACAGACTGATGAAAAGTTTGAGTTCCTCTGTGAACAGTGGTTTGCTGTGGAGAGTGATGATGGACAGGTGAGTACATAGTGGTTTACTGTAATGATGTATATGTTAGTACACAGTGGGTCACTGTAGTGATGTACAAGTTAGTACACAGAAAGTCTCCAAAAGAATAGGCATTCTTTCTAAGATACGGTACTGTGTATCCCAAACGGCACTCCTTGCACTTTACCATGCTCTAATCTTCCCTTGCCTCACCTATGGTATTAGTGCTTGGGGTTCAGCTATGGCCGGTAACCTGAAACCTTTAACCCAACAAAAAGCTGCTGTGTGGATGATCATCAACTCCTGCACCAGGCAACACACTCCACCACTCTTTTTTTTTTTTTCAACATGCCGGCCATCTCCCACTGAGCAGGGTGACCCAAAAAGAGAGAAACACTTTAATCATCATTTACACATAATCATTGTCTTGGTAGTGTTACGTTGTTGTCCCTTTTTACTTCGATGGCATGGCTCTCACCACTTGCCCTAGTGTGAGGTAGCTTCAATAAGGCCTCTAAAGTTTTGGGGAATTCTTACATTCATGAATGATTAGCTGTCCTAAGTCTCTGAAATTATTTATCAATCCTTTCAATAGGTTAATGAAACTACTATTACAAAAATAGGAATATATTCTAGACCGGTATGTACAGAATATACAAGTTAGGCACTTTCCTATTCATAACAAAGGATGCACACTCTTGGCTGAGCTCAGCCAGTACAATCACATGGTCCCATCTGAAATAATTACGTCTCCTTTCTTCCTGATGGCCTTAACCCAGTGTTTTGACACACTGTAGCCACTCTGGGTGTAAGGGTTACAACATCAAACACAGTTAAGTACAAATCTTACCTCTTGGGCTCTTACTTACACATCTTGCCCAGAAGTAAGAGAAGGGAGGAGGGTCCTTCCATCTTCAGCACCACCAACAAGAGAGAGAACAAGCCAGCCTCTTCCCATTACTATACTTTATTTTACTTTTAAAGAGAAACAGTCTTTATAATCTACTTATTTTAATTGTGTGTATTAACCCTTTCAGGGTCCAGAGGCCAAATTTCAAAGTGTGCACCAGGGTCCAAAAATTTTCAAAAAAAAATTTTGTTATTTTTTCTTATGAAATGGTAGAGAATCTTTTTCTGAAGGTAATAAAACAAAAAGTGCAAAATTTGATGGAAAATTGATGAAATTATGCTCTCGCGAATTTTGATGTGTCAGCGATATTTACGAATCGGTGATTTTGCCGACTTTGACTCCCATTTTAGGCCAATTACATTATTCCAGTTGACCAAATTCTTAGCTATTTCACTGGTATTACTTCTGTTCTATCGATTGAGCACAAGAAATCGCCCAGTCAACTGTTTCAACTACAAAATAAAGTGATCGGAAATTGGTAATTTGGCCAATTTAACACAAAGTACAAAATATTCCAATTTCAAAATAGGGTCCAGAATAAACAATGCAGGCATTCTTGGCACTAATATAACATTTCCTCTGTTCATTAGTTATGTTTTCAGGCTTTACAAATGAATTCCATTTTGATTTTTTATTCACATAATGAATTTTTATTCAAACCAAAAAATAGAAGATTTACTGTTATGCAATATTGTAATAATGGTATAAATAATATCAGCACATTTGTGAATGTATATTAGACCCACCAGCTGGCGTGTATTAGACGTGTGAGGTCATTTGTTTACTCTTGAACATTGACAAAAATTTAACATTTCCGTTACTTTGAGCGCAGTTTTAAGCCATTTCCAATACTAAAACCAATCAAAATCATCTCTATTTCTGTAGTGTATCTTCCATGCTATCAAATGAGACCAAGAAATCGCAAATTTTTTTTTTTTTTTTTTCAACAAGTCGGCCGTCTCCCACCGAGGCAGGGTAACCCAAAAAAGAAGAAAATCCCCAAAAAGAAAATACTTTCATCATCATTCAACACTTTCACCACACTCACACATTATCACTGCTTTTGCAGAGGTGCTCAGAATACAACAGTTTAGAAGCATATACGTATAAAGATACGCAACATATCCCTCCAAACTGCCAATATCCCAAACCCCTCCTTTAAAGTGCAGGCATTGTGCTTCCCATTTCCAGGACTCAAGTCTGACTATATGAAAATAACCGGTTTCCCTGAATCCCTTCACTAAATATTACCCTGCTCACACTCCAACAGATCGTCAGGTCCCAAGTATCATTCGTCTCCATTCACTCCTATCTAACACGCTCATGCACGCTTGCTGGAAGTCCAAGCCCCTCGCCCACAAAACCTCCTTTACCCCCTCTTTCCAACCCTTTTGAGGACGACCCCTACCCCTCTTTCCTTCCCCTATAGATTTATATGCTTTCCATGTCATTCTACTAGGATCCATTCTCTCTAAATGACCAAACCCCCTCAACAACCCCTCTTCTGCCCTCTGACTAATGCTTTTATTAACTCCACACCTTCTCCTAATTTCCACACTCCGAATTTTCTGCATAATATTTACACCACACATTGCCCTTAGACAGGACATCTCCACTGCCTCCAACCGTCTCCTCGCTGCTTCATTTACCACCCAAGCTTCACATCCATATAAGAGTGTTGGTACTACTATACTTTCATACATTCCCTTCTCTGCCTCCATAGATAACGTTTTTTGACTCCACATATACCTCAACGCACCACTCACCTTTTTTCCCTCATCAATTCTATGATTAACCTCATCCTTCATAAATCCATCCGCCGACACGTCAACTCCCAAGTATCTGAAAACATTCACTTCTTCCATACTCCTCCTCCCCAAATTTTGGGATACCCAAATTTTTTCTTTTTTCTAAAATCATTTGATACCCTCTCCCCTTTACCCCCTTTTCTAGTTCACTTTCAACTTTCTCCCCTTTAAACACACATTCCAAACTTTTCCCTAACCTTTGCAATTTTTTTTTAAATCCCCCATAAGCACAGTATCATCAAAAAAAAAGCAACTGTTTTAAATTTTCCCTTTTTTAAATTGATTCCCAAAAATTTTAATCCCACCCCTCCCCCCCCCGAACACCCTAGCTTTTTATTTTCTTTTAAAACCCCCCCTTAAAATATAAAAAAACCAGGGGTGAAAATTACACACCCCCTGTCAAAGCCCTATTTTTTCCCGGGAATTTTATTCCCCCTCTCTTCAACAAAACCCCAAACCTAAGCCCACTATCCCATAAAAGCCTTTACGGGCATTTAGTAACTTACCACCTATTCCAAAATACTTGCAACATCTGCCAATTGCTCCTCTATTCCCCCCAAAGAGTAAAAACCCCATTGGACGTGTTTCTTCAACCTGTTTCTATTTTCCCCACCCAGTAAAAATGGGTACCTGGGTGTTAGTCGACTGGGTGGGGTCGCATCCGGGGACACTGACCTAAGGGGGCCCGGGGTCCACGCCCCCGGGCCGCGGGGCTTTGACCCCCGAAACTCCTCCGGAAAACCCCCCAGGTATCCACTCTATCATATGCCTTTTCTAAATCCAAAATGCAAAAAAAAATTTCCCTACCTTTATTTTAAATACTGTTCAAAATAATACTTCAATGAAACATTTTGATCTACACATCCCCTACCCACCCCTGAACCCCCTTTGTCATCCCAATCCTACATTCTGCCCTTACTCAAATTTTCTTTAAATTTAATAACCCTACTGAAATATTTTTCCCGGTAAAACTCAGAAAAACTTTTTCCTCATTTTTTTTTAACAATTTTTTTTTTGGGTCCCCCTTTTCCCTTTATATAAAGGGACTATACATGCCTCCCCCAAATCCCTGGGTACCCCCCCCTTTTTCCCTACATTTCCCTAAACAAAAAAACCCAACCACCCCAAAACACTATACCCCCCTTTTTTAACATTTCTGTCATGACCCCATCAGTTCCAGCTGTTTTAAAACCCCCCCTTTTCTTTTCTACGAAATGCCTCACTCCCTTCCACCACATTTTACTTTCTGCTCTTCTTCCCCCCAAAAAGGGATTAAAAACCCCCCTGGCCAGTGAAAAAAAATTTAAACCCCTTCTCTTGATTTTTAGCGTAATAATAAAGCATTTTCCCCTGAAACACGAGACGACCCCCAATGGAAACCCGGGACTTTGGGCTTCAAAAGCCCCTTACTTTTGGGAAAATGTTTTGTGCATGTGCTTTACACAACAAAAAGGGCTTTTCCCTTTTTATTCTTTGGGAAAACCCCGGGCTAGGGCTAAAAGTGAGCGGGTTTTGTAACAAATGGGAAAAAAAAATTTGGAAGGACTTTAGCAGCAAGTAGTCCCAAACCCAAACGTAGCACCGGGTTTGGTGTGGTAAACCCCGGGGGAGATTTAAAATTGTGCTACCCGATTTTCCTAAAATTGCTGGATTTGTGTGGCAGACCTGTATTTAAAAGACTACAAAACAAGCAAAAGAAAACCATTTTTTTCTTTGCAAAGGTTACGGGGTAAATTTTAATTATTCATTTTTTTAATCCTTTTACTACTGAAAGGGTTGCCAAAAAGTTTTTTGGGAAACAAGTTTCTAGTGTTGATGATTCACATAACAAAAAACAGTAATAGAGTTTTAAAACCCGGGTAATGATTTAGCATAGTGCGGGTAGGGTTAATATTGAAGAGATGAGATTTTTTTTTTTTTTTTAAACAAGTCGCCACCCCCCCCCGAGGCAGGGGTTTTTTTAAGTAAAGCCCTAAATTGATTGCAAAAAGGGGGAACCCTTTTGCTGGTTCGGGGCAGTAAATTTCCCAGATTTTTCAGGCACTTTTATTGCCATTTGCTTTCTTGCATAGTGTAGATGGAAAAAAAGGGGATTAAAAGTTTGGGTTTTGTGCCTTGTGTTATCCTGTGTGTTCTTTTTGTACTATCTAAGAGAAGTTTGGGGCTGGGGTTTAAAAAAAATTTAAAAAATGAATTTTTTTATTTCTAAACGTAACGGAAGTTTGGATATCATTTTGGGGAGGGAGGAGTATGGAGGAGGTAAATGTTTTTCAGATTTTTGGGAGTGGATGTGTCAAGCAAGGGGTCTAAAA